GCTCCAAGCTCGACACCATCACCAATGTCAGCACCAACATCGTCAGGTTCATCACCAACATCTCCAGTGCCAGCACCAATATTGCCAATTTCAGCACCAAAATCTCCAGTTTCAGCACCAACATCTCCAATTTCAGCACCAAAATCGCCAATGCCAGCACCAAAATTGCCAATATCAGCACCAAATATCAACCAGTTTCAGCACCAAATTCACCAATTTCAGCACCAACATTGCCAATATCAGCAGGAACATTTCCAGTTTCAGCACCAACATCTCCAATGCCATCGCCAACATCACCAATGTCAGCACCAACATTGCCAGTTTCAGCAGCAATATCTCCATTTCAGTGCCAACATCTCCAGTTTCAGCACCAACATCACCAACATCAGCATCAACATTGCCAATGCTGGCACCAACATCTCCACTGTCTGCACCAACATCGTCAGCTTCATCACCAACATCTCCAGTTTCAGCATCAACATCGTCAATGTCAGCACCAATATTGCCAATGTCAGCACCAACATCTCCAATTTCTACACCAACACCTCCAATTTCAGCACCAACATCACCAATGCCAGCACCAAAATCTCCAATTTCAGCACGAAAATCGCCAATGGCAGCACCAAAATCTCCAGTTTCCGCACCAACTTCGCCAATTTCAGCACCAAAAATCACCAATGCCAGCACCAACATCTCCAATGTCAGCACCAACATCTCCAATTTCAGCACCAAAATCGCCCATGCCAGCACCAATATCTCCAATGTCAGCACCAACATCTCCAATTTCAGCACCAACATCTCCAGTTTCCGCAACAACATCGCCAATTTCAGCACCAAAAATCTCCAATGCCAGCACCAAAATCTCCAATTTCAGCACCAAAATCGCCCATGGCAGCATCAAAATCTCCAATTTCAGCACCAAAATCGCCCATGCCAGCACCAACATCACCAATGCCCGCACCAAAATCTCCAATGTCAGCACCAACATCTCCAATTTCTACACCAACACCTCCAATTTCAGCACCAAAATCGCCCATGCCAGCACCAACATCACCAATGCCAGCACCAAAATCTCCAATTTCAGCACCAACATCACCAATGCCAGCAGCAAAATCTCCAATATCAGCACCAAAATCTCCAATTTCAGCACCAAAATCTCCAATTTCAGCACCAAAAATCTCCAATGCCAGCACCAACATCACCAATGCCAGCACCAAAATCTCCATTTTCAGCACCAAAATCGCCAATTTCAGCACCAAAATGGCCAATGCCAGCACCAAAAATCTCCAATACCAGCACCAACATCTCCAATGTCAGCACCAACATCTCCAATTTCTACACCAATCCCTCCAATTTCAGCACCAACATCACCAATGCCAGCACCAAAATCTCCAATTTCAGCACCAAAATCGCCCATGGCAGCATCAAAACCTCCAATTTCAGCACCAAAATCGTCAATGCCAGCACCAACATCTCCAATTTCAGCACCAAAATCTCCAGTTTCAGCACCAAAATCTCCAATTTCAGCACCCAAATCGCCAATGCCAGCACGAAAACCGCCAATGCCAGCACCAAAATCTCCAGTTTCAGCACCAACATCTCCAAGCTCAGTGCCAATGAACTGCAACGAGTTTTGCTTCTCCAGACAAAAGTCAGGACCATGAGCTTGGACTTTTAAGCTGCTCAGAGCTAATCC